ATGTTCACAGTACTGCTGTGAAAATTCTTACATATATGTGGCTCCTCCAGTCATACAAGTGTCAGTTTTTTTTTTTGTTTGTTTGTTTTTTGAGACGGAGTTTTGTTCTTGTTGCCCAGGCAGGTGTGCAATGGCATAATCCCGGGTCACCACAACCTCCGCCTCCCGGGTTCAAGCGATTCTCTTGCCTCAGCCTCCTGAGTAGCTAAGATTACAGGTATGCGCCACTACACCCAGCTAATTTTGTATTTTTAGAGGAGACAGGGTTTCTCCATGTTGGTCAGGCTGGTCTCAAATTCCTGACCTCAAGTGATCTGCCCGCCTCAGGTTCTCAAAGTACTGTGATTACAGGCATGAGCCACTGCACCCAGCCTCTTTTTTTTTTTTTTCTTTTTTTTGGGGGGTGGAGTCTCACTCTGTCACCCAGGCTGGAGTGCAGTGCAGTGGCGTGATCTTAGCGCAGCCTCAACCTCCTAGGCTTAAGTCATCCTCCCACCTCAGCTACCCAAGTACTTGGGATTCGAGATGTGTGCCACCACGTCCAGCTAATTTTGTTTATTTTTTGTACAGATTTGTTCTCAATATGTTGCCCAGGGTGGTCTTGAACTCCTGGGCTCAAGGGATCCTCCCATCTAGGCCTCCCAAAGTGCTAGGATTAGAAGCATGAGGCACCACACCCAGCCAGCTTAATCATGCAAGTTTGTCCTGTCCTCAGGTGGAATTGCTGGGTCGTAGAAATTGCTTGTGTTCAATGTTTTCTGTTTGTTTGTTTTTTAGATGGAGTCTCGCTCTGTCGCCCAGGCTGGAGTGCAGGGGTGCGATCTTGGCTCACTGCAGCTCCGCCTCTTGGGTTCATGCCATTCTCCTGCCTCAGCCTCCCGAGTAGCTGGGACTACAGGCACCTGCCACCACGCCCGGCTAATTTTTTTTTTTGTATTTTTAGTAGAGACGGGATTTTACCGTGTTAGCCAGGATGGTCTTGATCTCCTGACTTCATGATCCGCCCACCTCAGCTTCCCAAAGTGCTGGGATTACAGGAGTAAGCCACTGCGCTCCGCCGCTTGCGTTCAACGTTACTGAATAACACCATATTGTTTCCGGAGGGCTTGTTTCAATTTACTATACTTTAGAAGGCTATTAGCACTGAATGACTTTTAAAAAGAGTACATCATTCTAACATAATTAGCCATTAGAAAATTTGTGGCTAGGCACGGTGGCTCACTCCTATAATCCCAGCACTTTGGGAGGCCAAGGCGAGTGAATCACCTGAGGCCAGGGGTTCAAGACCAGCCTGTCCAACATGATGAAACCCCATCTGTACTAAAAATACAAAAATTAGCCGGGCATGCTGGTGCATGCTTGTAATCCCACCTACTTGGGAGGCTGAGGCAGGTGAATCGCTTGAACCCGGGAGGCAGAGGTTGCAGTGAGCTGAGATCACGCTGCTGCACTCCAGCCTGGGTGACAGAGAGAGACTCCATCTCAGGAAAAAAAAAAAAAAAAAAAAAATGTTAGCTTACAAAAATGTGATCTATAGAAAATCTTTCAGAGCTGGGTAAAGTGGATCACGCTTGGACTTGAGCCCAGGAGTTGGAGACTAATGAGACCCAGGCTCTACTAAACATAAAAAAAAAACAGCCTCGTGTGGTGGCACACACCTGTGGTCTCACCTGCTCAGAAGGCTGAGGCAGGAGGATTGTTTGAGCCCAGGAGTTCGAAGCTTCAGTGAGCTATGAGCATGCCACTGCACTCCAGCCTGGGTGACAGTGAGACCCTGTCTCAAAACAAAAAAAAAAAGAAGAAAGAAAACCTTTAGGAACAGTAGTATGACCTGTATTACTTTTGACTAACCAATTGTGATTAAAACTTTGCAAAATAATTTGCTAATATTTTTATTATACCTTCATTATGCTATATTGTATTTGGTTCTCACGTGCTATTATTCCAGTAATTATGCCTTCATTATGCTGTATTGTATTTGGTTCACTTGTGCTATTATTCCAGTAAGAACAGCATTGAAGCTTTTTTTTTTTTTTTTAGCTTTTTGTGTTTTTAGACAGAGTCTGGCTTTGTCACCCAGGCTAGAGTGCAGTGGTATAATCTCGGTTCACTGCAACCTCTGCCTCCTGGGTTCAAGTGATTCTTCTGCCTCAGCCTCCCCAGTAGCTGAGATTACAGGTGCCCACCACCAGGCCTAGCTACTTTTTGTATTTTTAGTAGAGATGGGGTTTCATCATGTTGGCCAGGCTGGTCTCGAACTCGTGACCTCAGGTGATCCTCCCGCCTCGGCCTCCCAGAGTGCTGAGGTTATAGGCGTGAGCCACTCTGCCCAGCCTGATGAAGCATATTTTAATCTGTTTCACAGTTTTGCTTTCTCTGGCAAGATTACCTCCTGGTTGTTATATGTGACCACTCATTAGTGTCTTCTAGGCAACTATACATATTTTTAATGTGATGTGCTCTAGCAAAACAGTGTCTACAATACAGCCATCTCATGCCCACAAGTATTAATACAGGTGTGAGTGTGAGGTTGATTCCAGGACCATGAAGAGGTGACAGATTTTAATTAATTAACTAATTTTTCAGAGACAAGGGCTTGCTCTGTTACCCAGGGTGGAGAACAGTGGCATGATCACAGCACACTGTAACCTTGAAATCCTGAGCTCAAATGATCCTCCCGCCTCAGCCTCCCAAGTAGCTGGGACTGTAAGCATGCACCACCACACCCAGCCAGATTTTAGTAAATATAAATATTTTATCTGAAATTTTTAAGAATATTTAATATTTTAAGGAATATTTAATGTTAAACATTTATGAAATACAAATAGCATAAGTTAACTCTTCTAGCCTTCCACATTTACTTACTTGAGTTTCTTTTCCCCTCAAAATAAATTCTCAGTTACCACTTATACTTAGATACAAACATCTGGTGTTTAACATTTTGTTTCTTTTATTATGCTTTTGGTTTTTGTGTGTTTTTTTGAGATGGATTCTCATTCTGTTGCCCAGGCTGGAGTGCAGTGGCGTGATCTCACCTTACTGCAACCTCCGCCTCCCAGGTTCAAGCGATTCACCTGCCTCAGCCTCCCAAGTAGCTGGGATTACAGGCAGGCGCCACCATGGCAGGCTAATTTTTATATTTTTAGTAGAGACAGGGTTTCAAATTGTTGGCCAGGCTGGTCTTGAACTCCTGACCTCAGGTGATCCACCCGCCTCGGCCTCCCAAAGTGCTGGGATTACAGGCGTGAGCCAATGTGCCCAGCCTATTATGCTTTTTAAAAAACTACAGCAGGCTGGGTGTGGTGGCTCATGCCTGTAATCCCAGCACTTTGGGAGGCTGAGGTGGGCAGATCATTTGAGGTCAGGAGTTTGAGACCAGCCTGGCCAACATGGTGAAACCCAGTCTCTACTAAAAACACAAAAACTAGCTGGGCATGGTAGCGTGCGCTTGTAATCCCAGCTACTGGGGAGGTTGAGGCAGGAGACTCACTTGAACCCAGGAGGCGGAGGTTGCAGTGAGCTGAGATCACACCACTGCACTCCAGCCTGGGAAGCAGTGAGACTCAGCCTCGGGAAAAGAAAAAAATTGTGTTTTGGTGAGGAGGGTCCTGTAGCTAAGGGCAGAGATGCTGTGACCAAGTGTCCCACCCCAGGGATTGCATCCTCTGTGTGGGTAAGCAACCTAGAGTGAGCCTGGAGTGCAGACTGTCAGCCTTTGAGGTTTCAGGTTGTGTTTTAGAGTGGACCTCGATGCCCAGCTCTAGCCAGCTAACTCTAGTGGTAAATGTTTGGGGGAAACACCCGTTATTTGTTGTAGTTACATGCAAGGAGCTGGGCAAGTGACACATGGAATTCATATATATATTTTTAAACCAGTCTTACTCTGTTGCTCAGGCTGTAGTGCAGTGGCACGATCGTGGCTCACTGCAACCTCCTTCCCCGGGGTTCAAGCAATTCTCCTGCCTCAGCCTCTCAAGTAGCCGGGACTACAGGCATGCACCACCATGCCCCGCTAATTTTGTATTTTTGCTCCAGACGGAGTTTTGCCATGCTGGCCAGGCTGGTCTGGAACGCCTGACCTCAGGTGATCCGCTTGCCTCAGCCTCCAAAAGTGCTGGGATTACAGGCTTGAGCCGCCGAGCCTGGCCAGAAAAGTTTTAAAAAGAAATAGGCCCGGCGCGGTAGCTCACACCTGTAATCCCAAGACTTTGGGAGGCCGAGGAGGGAGGATCGCTTGAGCCCAGGAACGGGAGCCCCCCAATCTCTATTTAAAAACATAAATAAAAATTTAAAATAAAATAAAAACAAGGTGCAAAGACTCATTTTGTTACTCATGGTTGCATTTTAATTGAGAATATAAGTAGTCTTGGCCGGGTGTGGTGGCTCACGCCTGTAATCCCAACACTTTGGGAGGCCGAGGTGGGCGGATCACGAGGTCATCTTGGCTAACACGGTGAAACCCCGTCTCTACTAAAAATACAAAAAATTAGCTGGGTGTGGTGGCGGGCGCCTGTAGTCCCAGCTACTTGGGAGGCTGAGGCAGGAGAATGCTGTGAACCCAGGAGGCGGAGCTTGCACTAAGCCGAGATCGTGCCACTGCACTCCAGCCCAGGCGACCGAGAGAGACTCCATCTCAAAAAAAAAAAAAAAAAAAAAAAGAATATAAGTAGTCTTTGAAGTTCTTTTGGGATCTACAGTGCTGCAAGCGCATAATGCCAAACGTGGATTTCAAAAGAGGCCCCCCGACGGGGTTTTATTAATTGCAAAATCAGTGCAGCGGTCCCTTGCTTCCCTCACCTACCCTTAGATCCTAAGTGGTGGTGGCGGCAGCGCGGAGCAGCTTCTGAAGGTCCAGGAGTTTAAAGCGGAGGTGCCACGGGGCGCGGCTTTGCGGAAAAAGCGAAAGCTCACTCCGCACCGTGCACTTCTCGGAATACGGGCGCTGAGCCCCCGGAGGAGGAGAGGGCTGGTTCCGGGAGCCCCTCCCCTGGGGCGGGGCCAAAGCGTCCTCCCAGCCCGGCTTTGCAGAACAGAGGTCTGGTGTCTCCAGTTTACAGAAGCACTTGCAGAACTCATCAGAAGCCACCCTGCTTATCAGCAGATTTCAAGAGAGCGTTCAGTGGAGGCCCTGAGTCTGCACAGTTCACCTCCCTGGGAACTGCTCGCCTGAGCATTGGAGCCGGCTCTGGCCCCCTGCAGCCTAAAGGAGCCCCGGAGGCCCAGGACACAGCGTGAGTCCTGGCTTGTGCTTTCCCTGCACCCAACTTTCTGATTTTGCCGACTTTCCTTTTCCTCTTCCAGGCTTCCTCTCTGAGTCTACATTTCTTCTTAATCGCATAGGCAGATCATTTCCTAGAATCTTCAGGCTTGCTTTTCATTGATTTATGTTTTGGGTAACTTCACTTGTCTAATCTTACAGCAGCCGCATGTTGCCAAACAGCATGAATGAATGATGCAATCCCTTGCACACAGGAGCACCTTCAGTGCAAGACTGGGGCAATCCCCAAACTCAGAGTTGAAGTGTCCGAGTTTGTCTTCTTTCCCATTAGACTTAGAATTTTAAAATAAGTACTTACCAGATACATTGTTATAACGATACAACGTCAAGTTGGGAATTAAATCATGTTTTCATTCATTAAATATATTTACTATATTTTATTTTCTTTTTTAATTTTTTTTTTTTGACAGAGTCTCATTCTGTTGCCCAGGCTGGAGTGCAGTGGTGCGATCTCGGCTCACTCCAACCTCCACCTACAGGGTTCAAAGGATTCTCCTGCCTCAGCCTCCCGAGTAGATGGGTGTGGGCCACTATGCCCAACTAATTTTTTAATTTTTGTATTTTTAGTAGAGACAGGGTTTCACCATGTTAGCCAGGCTGGCCTCAAACTCTTGGCCTCAAGCAATCCACCTGCCTCTACCTCCCAAAGAGCTGGGATTACAAGCATGACCACTGTACCTGGCCAGTATATTTTCTTTATGTATGATTTGCATATTATTACTTTTTAAATATTTGATGACTGATATTGGAATGAGGATCAGGGAGGAAAATAATAAAATCCAAGATTTCTGTATTACAGTGCCAAGTAGGTTTTCAGTATCATGACCATAGCCCTGTCACTATCATGTTGGTGAAACAAAGTAGTCAGGACGTTTAAAATTTTCAAATGATTTAATATATGCCTTCCTTTCCTTCCTTCTTTTCCTTCTTTTTTTTTTTTTTTTTTTTTTTAAGAGACAGGGTCTCACTTGGTCACCCAGGCTAGAGTGTAGCAGTGCAATCATAGCTCACTGGAATCTCAAACTCCTGAGCTCAAGTGATCCTCCTGCCTCAGCCTCCCAAGTAGCTGGGACTACAAGTATGCACCACCATGCCTGGCTCATTTATTTTATTTTTTGTAGAGATGGCATTTCACTATGTTGCCCAGGCTGATCTGGAACTCCTGGGCTCAAGCAATCCTCCCTCCTCAGCCTCCCAAAGTGCTGGGATTATAGGTGTGAGTCCCCATGCCCAACCTTTTTTTTTTTTCTTTTTTCTTTTTTGAGATGGAGTCTTGCTCTGTCGCCCAGGCTAGAGTGCAGTGGTGAGATCTTGACTCACCGTGGCAAGCTCTGCCTCCTGGGTACACGCCATTCTCCTGCCTCAGCCTCCCTAGTAGCTGGGACTACAGGTACCTGGTACCACGCCTGGCTAATTTTTTTTTGTATTTTTAGTAGAGACGGGGTTTCACCATGTTAGTCAGGATGGTCCCGATCTCCTGACCTTGTGATCCGCCCATCTCGGCCTCCCAAATGGTGCTGGGATTACAGGCGTGAGCCACCACGCCCGGCCTTTTTTATTTTTTAGAAAATCCTTGGACTAGAATTAGGGTTAAAGGGATCCTCAAGGTTGCCTAGAGCAGCCTCCCATGAGAGACTTTTTTAAAACCAGTGTTTTATTGATATATAATTAAATGCAATAAAATGCACTCTTTAAGTGCACATTTTGATGAATTTTGATAAATTTATTCATGCTTGTAATTATCACCACAATAACATTTCCATCACCCATAAGTTTCCTAGGGCCTCTTTCCAGTCAGCCCCTTGTCCCAACTCCTAGCCCTACTGATCTGATCTTTGTCATTATAGCATTTGTATTTTCTAGTGTTTCTTCTTTTTTTTTTTCTTTTTTTTTTCTTTTGTTTTTTGAGACCAAGTCTCGCTCTGTCACCCAGGCTGGAGTGCAATGGTGCAATCTCAGCTCACTGCAACCTCTGCCTCCTGGGTTCAAGAGAGCCTCCTGCCTCAACCTCCCGAGTAGCTGGGACTACAGGCGCCCGCCACCACGCCTGGATAATTTTTTTGTATTTTTAGTAGAGACTGGGTTTTACCATATTGGCCAGGCTGGTCTCAAACTCCTGACCTCGTGATCCACCCACCTTGGCCTCCCAAAGTGGTGGGATTACAGGCATGAGACACCGTGCCCGGCCTCTAGTGTTTCATATAACTGAAACCATACAGTATGTGCTCTTGTGTCTGGCTCCTTTCCATCAGTATAATTATTTATTTGTTTATTTATTTTGAGACAGAATTTTGCTCTTGTTGCCCAGGCTGGAGTGCAGTGGCGCGATCTCAGCTCACTGCAACCTCCGCCTTCAGGGTTCACCAATTCTCCTGCCTCAGTCTCCCTGGTAGCTGGGATTACCAGCATGGTGGCCCAGCTAATTTTGTATTTTTAATAGAGACAGAGTTTCACCACGTTGGTCAGGCTGGTTTCAAACTTTTGACATCAGGTGATCCGCCCACCTCGGCCTCCCAATGTGCTGGGATTACAGGCATGAGTCACCGTGCCCGGCCTTGCTGGGTCTTATGGTAAGTATATGTTTATAAGAAACTGCAGGCCCAGTGTGGTGGCTCACAGCTGTCATCTCAACACTTTGGGAGGCCGATGTGGGAGGATCCCTTGAGGCCATGGGTTCAAGGTCAGCCTGGGCAACATAGCGAGACCCTGTTTCTACAAAAAAAGAAAAATTAGCAGGGCATAATGGTGTGCATCTGTAGTCCCTGCTACTCGGGAGGCTGAGGCAGGATAATTGCTTAAGCCCAGGAGTTCTAGGATGCAGTAAGCTATGATTACATGGCTGCATTCCAGCCTGGGCGACAGAGCAAGACCCTATCTCAGAGACACACACACACACACCTGTTGTCTTTGCTCCCTTGTAATTGGGCAGCAGATCCTTTCTCTGATTCATCTTGGAAGGTTGTTGTCTCTGTTCCCTCATTATATTTATTGTTTGTTTGTTTATTTATTTATTTATTTATTTTGAGATGGAGTCTCGCTCTATCACCCAGGCTGGAGTGCAGAGGCACGATCTTGGCTCACTGCAGACTCTGCTTCCAGGGTTTATCAAGTAGTTCTCCTGCCTCAGCCTCCCGAGTAGCTGGGACCACAGGCATGTGCCACCATACCTGGCTAATTTTTTTTTTTTTTTTTTTTTGAGACAGAGTCTCTCTCTTGCCCAGGCTGGAGTGAAATGGTATGATCTTGGCTCACTGCAGCCTCTGCCCGCTGGGTTCAAGCGATTCTCCTGCCTCAGCCTTTCAAATAGCTGGGATTACAGGCACACACTGTTACCAGCAGGCTAATTATTGTATTTTTAGTAGAGATGGGGTTTTACCATGTTGGCCAGGCTGGTCTCGAACTCCTGACCTCAAGTGGCCTGTCTGCCTTGGCCTCCCAAAGTATTGGGATTACAGGCATCAACCACCGCACTCGCCCAAGTCTGCTTCTTTATCTATGCATTTAGTTCTCCCAAGAGATTCTCCTTCCCTCTCCCTTGCCTTTGTACCCTGCTAATCAGGTATATGTGATTTCCTGTCAGACCTGAACCTTGCAGAATTGAAGCCATAGAAAAGAGTATGTTGACTCTACAGTGATTGAAGGGGGTAGGAGTAAAGCATTTCGCAGAGGAAGCAGTCTTAGGAAATTTTGCCTCTGACCCGTTTTTGTGCCAGTCGTACCAGGAGAGAGAGTGAAGCCAGACAGTCTCCCTCTTTCCTGTTTTGTGTGTGGACTACGATGTTCATTTCCTCATTCTCTCTTTCTAGGCTCTTGCTCTTGCAGAATCCACAGGTCTTTCTTGAAGAAATCTGTAGTCAGAACTTTGTTCTGCATTTTTATCTAGGGAAGGAACAGGAAGAGAAGAGTGTGGTCTACTAGAAATCTAGCACTGGAGACACGTGAGTCTGATTTGCCTTTTCTTGGTTTTTTTTTGCTGTCATTGGAATGTTTTTATGCATTGAACTGTTAAACGTTTGTCTATCTGCTAGCTGTTCACTCTTTTTTGAGACAGAGTCTTGCTCTGTCACCTGGGCTGGAGTGCAGTGGTGCGATCTTGGCTTACTGCAACCTCCACCTCCTGGGTTCAAGTGATTCTCCTGTCTCAGCCTCCTGAGTAGCTGGGATTACAGGTGCGGGCCACCACACCTGATTAATTTTTATATGTTTAGTAGAGACAGGGTTTCGCCATGTCGGCCAGGCTGGTCTTGAACTCCCAACCTCAGGTCATCCATCTGCCTCGGCCTCCCAAAGTGCTGGGATTACAGGCGTGAGCCACCGCGCCCGGCCGGCATTTACTCCTCACCTGAATTTTAAAAATTGATGTCAACTATGTGGCATGCAGAAGATCTCAGCTTCCCAGAATAGCTGGTTATATTACATATCATTTCAACTTTTATTTTAGCATCAGGGAGTACATGTGCAGGTTTGTTACATGGGTATATCACATGATGCTGAGGTTTGGGGTACAATTGATCCCATCACCCAGGGTTTGAGCACGGTACCCAGTAGGTAGTTTCTCAGTCTTTGCCCTCCTTCCGCTGCCTTCTTGTAGTCCTCAGTATCCTTTTTTTTGTGTGTTTTTTGTTTTTACACAGTCTCGCTCTGTCGCCCAGACTGGAACACAATGGTGTGATCTTAGCTCACTGCAACCTCCACCTCCTGGGGTCAAGTGATTCTCCTGCCTCAGCCTCCTGAGTAGCTGGGATTACAGGTGCCCACCACCATGCCTGGCTAATTTTTGTATATTTAGTAGGGACAGGGTTTCACCATGTTGGCCAAGCTGGTCTCGAACTCCTGATCTCAAGTGAGTTGCCCGCCTCGGCCTCCCAAACTGCTGGGATTACAGGTGTGAGCCACTGCACGTGGCCATTACTGTGTTTTTCCCGTCTTTGTATCCACATGTACCCAGTTTAGCTCCCACTTTTAAGTGAGAACATGTGGTATTTGGTTTTCTGTTCCTGCGCTAATTCACTTAGGATAACGGCCTCCAGGTGTATCTATGTTGCAGCAAAGGACATGATGTCATTCTTTTTTATGGCTGCGCTGGCTTTTTTTGTTTTTTTAATCATAAAATATAGCATAAGGCCGGGCATGGTGGCTCACACCTGTAATCCCCGCACTTTAGGAGGCCGAGGTGAGCAGTTCACCTGAGGTCAGGAGTTCGAGACTAGCCTGCCCAACATGGTGAAACCCGGTCTGTACCAAAAATACAAAAATTACCTGGGTGTGGTGGCACACACTTCTGATCCCAGCTATTCGGGAGGCTGAGGCATGAGAATCACTTGAACCTGGGAGGCAGAGAGTGCAGTGAGCCGAAATCACACCACTGCACTCCAGCTTGGGTGACAGAGCAAGACTCCATCTCTAAACAAAAGATAAAATAAAATATAGGGTAAGTGCATGTGCTGAGGATCCCAGCCCTTGTTATAGGGAGTTCCCTGTTTGACTCTCCTCTGATTCAGAAGCTTTTCAAAATCTACTGTGTACTCTTTTTTTTTTTTTGAGACGGAGTCTCGCTCTGTCGCCCAGGCTGGAGTGCAGTGTGGCACAATCTCGGCTCACTGCAACCTCTGCCTCCCAGGTTCAAGCAATTCTCCTGCCTTAGCCTCCCCAGTAGCTGGAATTACACACACATGCCACCATGCCCGGCTATACTGTGTACTCTTTCAATGCCCGGGAACCTGAACAAATTTATCCCTATTACCAAAGCAAATAAGCTTGGTTCTCGCAATTGTGTGTGACCTTCACAACCTCTGTACAGGCTTTTAATTTTTCCTTACACAGGTGAAGGTAAGAGGTCAGTCCTAACAAGGTGAAGGAAGTAAGGTGATCTTAGAAGCCTGTTGAAAGATACAGAGATTGAGAAGTTGGAAAGCGTTTGTTTGGGCGAGGAGCTTTTTTCCTCTTATCCAAAATCAGGCCTCCGAGGCCTGGTCCTGCAGGAAAACTTGCTTTTGTACTTTGGAACTAGGGGCAAGAAGGCCTTGTCAGCAGTGACTTTTTTGTTTTGTTTTGTTTTTAAATCCGTTGGTCCTTTGCTTGCCCCAGATGAAGTAGCTGGGGCCAGCCAGGCAGAAGTTCTGTTCTGAGCTGCAGAAGGCAGTGGTCCGGATGGGGCCTGGGAGCCGCTGTGTCTGAGAATCTGAGAATAGACCTTCCCACCGGCATGTCTTCTACCCCTGGCCTTGCCCTCTCCCTCCCTGTTAGAGCCAAATATGAAGAATCCAGAGTCCATTCTCTGGCAATGATTTTTCTGTGTGTGGAATTCTGATGTACACAATTTACTTTGAAGCAACTGACCTTACTCAGCAGATTTTTTTCCTCTATAGCCACGAGAATTTTAAATACACATGGATTGCGAGTCACTCCTGGTAGAGACAATGAAAAGAGGAGGAAATTGGCCAGGCGTGGTGGCTCACACCTGTCATTCCTGCACTTTGGGAGGCTGAGGCAGGTGGATCACTTGAGGTCAGGAATTTGAGACTGGCCTGACCAACATGGTGAAACCCTGTCTCTACTAAAAAATACAAAAGAATTAGCCAGGCGTGGTGGCAGGCGCCTGTAATCCCAGCTACTCGGGAGGCAGGAGAATCGTTTGAACCCAAGAGGCGGAGGTTGCAGTGAGCTGAGATCACATCACTGCACTCCAGCCTGGGCAACAGTGTGAGACCCCATCTCAAAAAAAGTAAAAATAAAAATAAAAAAGGAGGAAATCAGAAGTGTACAGGGAGGTACAGCATTTTGCAGAGCAGGATGGGAAGAGCTAAAAGGAGCTGTGGCCAAGTTTGCTCTGCTGCTCAATCAAGCAGGGAGGGAGTTGATACTCTTGTAATCCAAAAGGTAAAGGCCATCTCCCCTGGCCTGACCATTTCAGGGGCAGAGTTAAGGTCCTAAAATCCAGCTCGCTGTCTTAGGGAGGGTGTGGAAAAAGAATCAGCCTTCCAAGTAAATTCAATGTAAAGTGTGTCTCTAATGTTCTATTTTGGCCAGCACTGTGGCTCATGCTTATAATCCCAGCACTTTGGGAGCCAGGATGGGAGGATCGTTTGAGGCCAGGAATTCAAGACCAGCCTGGGTAACATAGTGAGACCTCATCTCTACAAAAATATTAATAATAATAACTTAGCTGGGTGTGGTGGTGTGTGCCTGTAGTCTCTGCTACTCAGGAGGCTGAGGCAGGAGGATCACTTCAGCCCAGGAGGTTGAGGCTGCAGTGAGCTATGATTATACCATTGGCACTCCAGTGTGGGCGACAGAGTGAGACTTTGTCTTGAAAAAAAGCCAAAAATATTCTATTTTCTCCTTGGGACCACATTACAACCCAGAAGGTAGGTGTCAACAATTCTGAGCTGTATATCAGGCCTAGTGGTCAGCTGGGGATGTGTAAATCAGTTCTAACTTTTAGTGGAGGAAATGTACATTTCCTTTCAAACTCAAGGCTGATGGTCTTGCTGTTTTTCTGAGACGGTGTCACCCAAGCTGGAGTGCTGTGGCCTGATCTCGGCTCACTGCACCCTTGAACTCCTGGGCTCAAGCCATCCTCCCGCCTCAGGCTCTTGAGTATCTGGGACCACAGGCGTGCGCCACCATGCCCCACCAATTTTTCTTTTTCCTTTTTTTTTTTTTAAAGAGAAGGAATCTTGCTATGTTCTCAAGAACTGATCTCAAACTCCTGGGTTCAAATGATCCTGCTGGGATTATTACAAGTGTGAGCCACTGTGCCCAGCCAATCTCATTAAAGTGTCATTGGTTGGAAAGAGGTTCAAGTACCTGGTTTGCCTTTTTTTTTTTTTTTTTCAGATGGAGTCTTGCTCTTGTTGCCCAGGCTAGAGTGCAGTGGTGGGATCTCAGCTCACTGCAACCTCCGCCTCCCGGGTTCAAGCGATTCTCCTGGCTCGGCCTCCTGAGTGGCTGGAATTAGAGGCGCCCGACTAATTTTTGTACTTTTAGTAGAGATGGAGTTTCACCATGTTGGCCAGGCTGGTCTCAAACTTCTGACCTCGTGATTCACCCGCCTTGGCCTCCCAAAGTACTGGGATTACAGGTGTGAGCCACCGCTCCTGGCCAAGGTCACTGGTTTTTCAAACATGACCAGTAATTATTTGTCTGATCATTTCGACAAGACTGGAAGCCTCTTGAGGATGGCGCCCATGCATTATGCATTCCTCTTTGTGTCTTGTGTCAGGGTTCCTGGGGACTGGCTTTGAGGTTCTGGTGCCCGTCAGTCGTTCTCAGGAGCATTGCCCATTCTTAGTTATGGTGTGTTGCCTCATTTGCCTCATGCATCTTCTTTCTTTTTTTTTTGGAGACGGAGTTTCACTCTTGTTGCCCAGGCTGGAGTGCAATAGTGCAAGCTCGGCTCACCGCAACCTCTACCTCCCAGGTTCAAGTGATTCTCTTGCCTCAGCCTCCTGAGTAGCTGGGATGACAGGCATGTGGCACCACATCCAGCTAATTTTGTATTTTTAGTAGAGACGGGGTTTCTCCCTGTTGGTCAGGCTGGTGTCGAACTCTCGACCTGAGGTGATCCACCCAGCTCAGCCTCCCAAAGTGCTGGGATTATAGGCATGAGCCACCGCACCCGGCCTTCTCATGTACCTTCTTAAAAAGTCCTTTAGCTTATCCCATTTATTTTAGCTCCTCTTAAACCATTTGTCTGTTTCTGGCTACCTCTTCACTCACCTATGGTTCATTCTCCATTCTTAGTGGAATTATGCTACAGTAAGTGCTGCTTCTCTGCCGATAGACCTGCTGACTTCAAGGTCTTTACAGCGACCCTGCCTGGTCATGTAGTATGAATTAGCTTGATTCCTGCTGGACCAAAGCCAAATGACTGGTTTCTTTTTATTTTTTATCTTTTTTTTTTTTTTTAATAGAGACAGGGTTTCACCATGTTGGCCAGGCTGGTCTCAAACTCCTAGCCTTAAGCAATCCACCTGTCTTGGCCTCCCAAAGTCCTGGGATTACAGGTGTCAGCCACCATGCTGGCCCTTGTTGAGTTTTTTTTTGAAATGGAGTCTCGGTCTGTCGCCCAGGCTGCAGTGCAGTGCAGTGGTGCAGTGGTGCGATCTCGGCTCAATGCAGTCTCCACCTCTCTACCTCCCAGGTTCAAGAGATTCTCCTGTATTCAAGTGATTCTCCCGCCTCTGCTTCCCAAGAAGCTTGGATTACAGGTGCCTGCCACCATGCCTGGCTAATTTTTGTATTTTTAGTAGAGATGGGGTTTCACCATGTTGGCCAGGCTGGTCTCGAACTCCTGACCTCAAGTGATCCTCCTGCCTCGGCCTCCCAAAGTGCTGGGATTACAAGTGTGAGCCACTGCAGCCAACCCCTTGTTCAGTTCTTAATAACTGCTTAGGTTCCACTCTATTTAATTCATAAAATATTTAATTCATGAAATATTTAACTAACACCTATTGAGTGCTGGGTGCAGTGATAGAAGATAATTCAACTGGAGTGATTGACTGATTTTCTGGGTTGATGGGGTGGAAATAATGTGGTATAGGGGAGGCCACTTGATCTACACCATGAAGAAGTAGGACTTGCTTCATGACATAGGGGATATGGTGATTCCAGGCAGAGAAGCAACATTTGAAAGGGTGTAGAGGAATAAAAACACATGACATAGGCTGGGTGCAGTGGCTCATGCCTATAATCCCAGCACTTTGGGAGGCCAAGACAGGCGGATCGCCTGAGGTCAGGAGTTCAAGACCAGCCTGGGCAATATGGTGAAACCCTGTCTCTACTCAAAATACAAAAATTAGCTGGATATGGTGGCATGCACCTGTAGTCTCAACTACTCAGGATGCTGAGGGAGGATAATTGCTTGAACCTGGGAGGAGGAGGTTGCAGTGAGCCGAGATTGTGCCACTGCACTATACTCCAGCCTGCGTGACAGAGCAAGACTCCGTCTCAAAAAAAAAAAAAAAGTCCTTAGTATTCCTTGAGCCATAAATTGTGTGTTTGACCAGGCGCGATTGCTCACGCCTGTAGTCCCAGCACTTTGGGAGGCCGAGTCGCATGGATCATTTTAGTCCAAAAGTTTGAGACCACTCTGGGCAACATGGCAAAACACCATCTCTACTAAAAATACAAAAAATTAGCCAGACATCGTGCCTGCCTGTAGTCCCAAATGCTCAGGAGGCTGAAGTGGGAGAATCGCTTGAGCCAGGGAGGCAGAGGTTGCAGTGAGCTGAGATTGCACCACTGCACTCCAGCCTTGGTGACAGAGTAAGGCCCTAACTCAAAATTTAAAACAGTGTGTGTTTGTGTATGTGTGTGCGTGTACATGTGAATAATGTGTGTGTGTAAAAATGTGTGTGTATGTATATTTGTGGGGAATGAGGTTGGTAAAATACATAGGCATGGAGCCAGATCATGAGGACATAAAGTGTGTAATAAAGACATTATGTTAATGGCTGGGTGCAGTGGCTCTGGTAGGGTACAGTGGCTCATGCCTATAATCCCAGCTCTTTGGGAGGCTGAGGCAGGAGGATCATTTGAGGTCAGGAGTTCGAGACCAGACTGGCCAACATGGTGAAACCCCATCTCTACTAAAAATACAAAAATTAGCTGGGCATGGTGGCATGTGCCTATAATCCCAGCTACTTGGGAGGCTGAGGCAGGAGAATCACTTAAACCTGGGAGGCAGAGGTTGCAGTGAGTCAAGATTGTGCCACTGCACTGCAGCCTGGGTGACAGAGCGAAACTCCTTCTCAGAAAAAAGAAAAAAAGGATTTATTAATAGACACTGAAATTTGAATTTCATTTTTACTTATTATTATTACTTTTGAGACAGGCTCTCATCTCACTCTGTCACCCAGGCTGGAGTGGAATTTCATGGTCGTAGCTCACTGTAGCCTCAAACTCCTGTGCTCAAGCAATTCTTCTGCCTCACCCTCCTGAGTAGCTAGGTCTATAGGCGCGTGCCACTACACCTGGCTAATTATAAAAATACTTTTGTAGAGATGGAGTCTTGGTATGTTGCCCAGATAGGTGTTGAACTCCTGGCTTCAAGTAATCCTCCCACCTCAGCCTCCCACAGTGCTAGGATTACAGGCGTGAGCCACTGTAGCCAGCCTGAAATTTGAATTTCATTAGTTTTTACGTGTCAAAAAATAGTCGTCTTCTTTTGATTTTTTTTTCAACCGTTTAAAATGTAAAAATCAGCTGGGCATGGTGGCTCACACCTGTAGTCCCAGCTACTCTAGAGGCCAAGATGGAAGGATCACTTGAGCCCAGGAGTTTGAGGCTACCGCGAGCTATGATGGCAACACTGCACTCCAGTCTGGGTGACAGAATGAGATCCTGTCTCAAAAAAAGTAAAGTAAAATAAAATGTAAAAATCGTTCTTACTTGTGAGCCATACAAAACCAGGTGGCAGGGTAGATTTGGCCTACAAGCCATAGTTTGCTGACCCCTGACTTAAAAGATTTTTTTTCCCAGGTCAACTTTAAATGGTATTATTCTGCCAACTGCATTGGTTGGAAATCAGTTGAGCAGTGGGTTGGTCAGCTGCTTTGAGTCTGTTTTTAACCACAGTCTTTTCTAAATATAGATTATTTACATCATCTGTGTAGCCTTGTATTTGACATATTAGTCTCTGATAGGAGGCTGGTCTAGGCAATCTTGAGGATCCCTTTCACCCTAAGTCTAGTCCAAAGATTTTATAAAAAATAAAGGCCAGGCATGGGGGCTCATGCCTGTAATCCCAGCACTTTGGGAGACCTAGGTGGGAGGATTGCTTGAGTCCAGGAGTTGAAGAGCAGTCTGGGCAACATAGCAAGACCCCCATCTCTTAAAAAAAAAAATTTAAAAATTAGCCAAGCATAGTGGCGTGCACCTGTAGTCCCAACTACTTGGGAGGCTGAGGCAGGAAGATCGCTTGAGCCCTGGAGTTGGAGGCTGCAGTGAGCCATGATTGTACCACTGCACTCCAGCCTGGGTGACAGAGTGAGAACTTGTCTCAAAAAATAAATAAATAAATAAAAATTCGTTTTGACTCCCTGTCCTCTGCAGCTTCTGTAGCAGTGTGCCTCCCAGAGTTTCTTCCTGTACCTTCACCATTTTCCCCTTCTCCTTCCCAGACTCAAGTCAGGATGTAAAGGTGGTGCTCCTGTAGGCTCTATCCTTAGCGCTCTTCTCTTCTCCCTCTTTCTATTCTCCCTGGACTTTATTTTTATGATTTTTTATTTTCTTGAGACAGGGTCTCACTCTGTGGCCCCATCCTGGTGCAGTGGTGTGATCTTGGCTCACTGCAATCTCCACCTCCCAGGTTTAAGAGATTCTCCTGCCTCAGCCTCCTGAGTAGCTGGGACTACAGGTGCACGCCATCCTGCCCGGCTAATTTTTATTTTTTTTTAGTACAGCTGGGGTTTTGCCATGTTGGCCAGGCTGGTCTTGAACTCCTGGCCTCATGTGATCCTCCCGCCTCAGCCTCCCAGAGTGCTGGGATTACAGGCATGAGCCACTACACCCAGCCTCTCCCTGGACTTTAATCAGATCACGTCTTCAACTAGCACCTCTACATTGGCAATGTTGTGTATGTTAAGCCGTTATATTTAGCTCTGACCTTTCTTCTGAGGCTTAAAGCCTTTCCCAGTATCTGGAAGTTAAAGTCTAAACTCCTTAGCCTGGCCCTAGGACCAGCTTAGTCTGAACTCCTGATGCACTGCCAGGCCCCTGGGCCAAGCCACGGGATAGCTTCCAGCAGGTCATCTGCTTCCTCCTCCTTGTCTTTGCTCATGCTCCTCCCTCTGCCATCACAAGCCTCTCTCCTTGTCTCTACCTCCCTTCCTCTCCTCCCAGCACATGCCAAATCGATGCCCTGCCCTTTGACAACCCACTCAGAGGGCCACTTACCTGTCAGATTCAGCTCAAATACCTGTGCCTCCTTGAAGCCGTCTTTTTTTTCCTTTTAGTTAGAGTCAGGGTCTTGCTCTGTTGCCCATACTGGAGTGCAGTGGCACGATCTCAGCTCACTGCAGCTCCACCTCCTGGGTTCAAGTGATTCTCCTGCCTCAGTGTCCCAAGTAGCTGGGATTACAGGCGTGTACCACCACACCCAGCTAATTTTTTGTATTATTATTTTTAGTAGAGACTTGATCTCTCTATGTTGCCCACACTGGTCTCGAACTCCTGGCCTCAAGCAATCCTCCTCCTGCCTTAGCCTCCCAAAGTGCTGGGATTACAGGGATGAGCCACTGTGTCCAGTCTGAAGCCCTATTTCATCGATAAGGCAAAACATTTTTCCTATATGCCCATAGAGCCTTATGCACACCTCTGCTTTAATGCTTGCTTCCTTGCTACAATTAGGTAAAAAAAAAAAATATATATATATATATATATGTATGTGTGTGTGTGTGTGTGTGTGTGTGTGTGTATATATATATATATATAAAACTAAAAGAAAAGAAAGAAGGCTTCAAGGAGGCACAGGTATTTGAGCTACTCAGGAGGCTGAGGCACAAGAATCACTTGAACCCGAGAGGTGGAGGTTATAGTAAGCCAAGATCGTACCACTGCCCTCCAGCCTGGACAACAGAGTAAGACTCCACCAAGAAAAAAAAAAGAAGAAAGAAGAAATTGGTGTAGTGTGGGAAGTAAACAAAAAGGAAAAACAAAAGAATCCGTGAGTACACTCTTATGTGGCCTGCACTGACTTCGACACAAATTAGATTGGCTTAGTAGGCAAGGTGGGATCTTTTCAGAATTGTATTTGATGTCTTTAAATACATTTATCTTTTAAATACATTTATCTTTTTTTCTTGTAGAAGGAAAATTCTTCCAACAATGGTCTCCCACTCAGAGCTAAGGAAGCTGTTCTACTCAGCAGATGCTGTATGTTTTGATGTTGACAGCACGGTCATTAGAGAAGAAGGAATCGATGAGCTAGCCAAAATCTGTGGTGTTGAGGACGCGGTGTCAGAAATGTAGGGATAGCATTTATCCACTTTATGAAATGATAAAGACTTTCTAAAGAGTGACTGTTTTGGATGAAGTGCTAGACCCTGGCTATGGAACATGAGCACTAGGCTTTTTCTTTCATCCCTTAGAGTTTAATTTGACATATTCATTCGTTTATATAAATATTTATAGCAAACAAACATGGATAAGACATGTTCTTAGCTTGATCAGGGGAATGACGACCATCACTAACCAAAGAAGGTGGCCTGGGGAGCGGGACCCGGGTGTCCAGTGGCTTTGTGTCATGGTTTAAAGTGTGGCCTTAGTGGTTCCCTGTAAAGGTTCAGAGTCTCTTAGTGGATCCTGGAGCAGAGTCCCTCCCTCCCTCCCTCCTGCCCTCCCGCCCTGCAGCTGGGCATCTCCCTCTGCAGTCCCAGTCCCCCAGTCATGCACTATGTAATTTTTTTTTTTTTCCCGAGACGGAGTCTCATTTTGTCGCCCAGGCTGGAGTACAGTGACACAATCTCGGCTCACTGCAACCTTTGCCTCCCGGGTTCCAGCAATTTTCCTGCCTCAGCCTCCCAAGTAGCTGGGATTACAGACGCGCACCCCCAGGCCCGTCGAATTTTTGCATTTTTTTAGTAGAGATGGGGTTTTGCCATGTTGGCCAGGCTGGTCTCAAGCTCCTGGCTTCAGATGATCTGCCCACCTCAGCTTCCCAAAGTGTTTGGAATTATAGGCATGAGTCACTGCACACTGGCCTTTTAATGTTCTTTTCTTTTTCTTTTCTTTTTTTTCTGAGACAGTTTCACTCTCCTTGCCCCGGCTGGAGTGCAGTGGCGTGATCTCGGCTCACCGCAACCTCCACCTCCGGGTTCAAGCAATTCTCCTGCCTCTGCCTCCTGAGTAGCTGGGATTACAGGCGTGTGCCACCATGCCCGGCTACTTTTGTATTTTTAGTAGACATGGTGTCTCTCCATGTTGGTCTGGCTAGTCTTGAACTTCCAACCTCAGGTGATCCGCCCGCCTCAGTCTCCCTAAGTGCTGGGATTACAGGCGTGAGCCACTGCGCCCGGCCTGTTAATGTTATATTCAAGCAGTCCTTCGAAAATTTATTCCAAGGCCTTGCTCTCATAGCAGCAAAGCCTGTCTGTTGTACAGTGGGACTCTTAGTAGCATCTTCCTGTTGGTGGATGTTGTGCAGGCCTGGGACAGTAAGGCATGTTAACCTCGAGGACAGCGAACCTGGCTGGCCTGACTGTTGGGTCTCCCTCCTAGGACACGGCGAGCCATGGGCGGGGCAGTGCCTTTCAAATCTGCTCTCACGGAGCGCTTAGCCCTCATCCAGCCCTCCAGGGAGCAGGTGCAGAGACTCATAGCAGAGCACCCCCCACACCTGACCCCCGGCATAAGGTAAGAGGAGCCCCTGCTGCAAGTGTATTTCAGCACCAGTGTTGGGAGGGGAGGGCAAGTCCTCCTGAGAGCATCTAACTATTGCTTTAGAGTGACCTCTGGGTGATTTATTTATTTTCATTTTTATTTTTTAATTTTATTATTATTTTTTAAATTTTTATTTATTTTTTCAAGATGAAGTCTCACTCTGTCACTCAGGCTGGAGTGCAGTGGTGCAATCTCAGCTCACTGCAACTTCTGCCTCCCAGGTTCATGCAATTCTCCTGCCTCAGCCTCCTGAGTAGCTGGGATTATAGGTCCCCGCCACCACACCTGGGTAATTTTTGTATTTTTAGTAGAGATGGGTTTCGCCATGTTGGCCATGCTGGTCTTGAACTCTTGACCTCAAGTGATCTGCCTGCCTGGGCCTCCCAAAGTGCTGGGATTATAGCTGTGAGCCACTGCACCCGGCCTATTATTATTTTATTTAGAGTCAGCGTCTCATTCTGTTGCCCATGTTGGAGTACAGTCATGGCTCACTGCAGCGTTGAACTCCTGGGGTCAAGTGGCCCTTCCACCTTAGCCTCCTTAGTAGTGGGGACTATAGGTGCATGCCACCATGCCCAGCTAATTAAAAAAAAATTTTTTTTTTGAGAGACAGGGTCTTGCTTTGTCACCCAGGCTGGAGTGCAGTGGCATGAATACAGCTCACTGTAGCATCAACCTTCTGGGCTCAAGGGATCCTCCTGCTTCAGCTTCCTAAGTAGCTGGGACTACAGATGTAGACCATCATGCCTAATTATTTTTTTAAAATTTTCTGTAGACACAGGGTCTCACTATGTTGACCAGGCTGGTCTTGAACTTGTGGGCTCAAATGATCAATTTTCCCACCTCAGCCTCCCAAAATGTTGGAATTATAGGTTTGAACCACTATACCCAGCCTTTAAAATATTTTTTGTAGAGATGGGGTCTTGCTATGTTGCCCAGGCTGTTCTCAAGCTCCTGGCCTCAAGTGATTTTCTACCTCGGCCTCCCAAATTGCTGGATTTAAAGGCGTAGCCTGTGTGGTTCTTTTGGTACTTACACATGGTCTTGTCTGGCTGGTTGTGTGGTCCTGTCTGTTTCTGCCTTTCCTCTTTCTCCACAGAAAACCTAAGCTTTCCTTGTTTGTCCTCATCTTGTGTTTTTCTGGGTCCATGGACAGAGTAGAGTTCTGGAATGGTTTCCTGAAGTAGCCAAACTCTACCCATTGATTTCTAAGTGCATTTAGAAAAACATATATAAGGCCGGGCGTGGTGGCGCATGCATGTAATCCCAGCATTTTGGGAGGCTGAGGCGGGCAGATCACCTGAGGTCAGGAGTTCAAGACCAGCCTGACCAACATGGTGAATCCCCGTCTCTACTAAAAATGCAAAAAAAGTTGGTCAGGCGTGGTGGCTCGCACTTCAGCACTTGGGAAGGCTGAGGCGGGCGGACCACAAGGTCAAGAGATGGAGACCATCCTGGCCAACGTGGTGAAACCCTGTGTCTATTTAAAACACAAAAATTAGCTGGACATGGTGGCTGCGTCTGTTGTCCCAGCTACTTGGGAGGCTGACGCAAGAGAATCGCTTGAATCTGGTAGGCGGAGGTTGCAGTGAGCCGAGATCGCGCCACTGTACTCCAGCCTGGTGACAGAGCGAGACTCCATCTCAAAAAATAAAATAAAATAAAATAAAGTAGCTGGGTGTGGTGGAGGGTGCCTGTAATCCCAGTTACCCTTGAGGCTGAGGGAGGATAATTGCTGGAACCCTGGAGGCAGAGGATGCTGTAAGCCGAGATCACACCACTGCACTGCAGCCTGGGCAACAGAGCGAGACTCCATCTCAAAAAGAAAAAAAAAGAAAAAGGAAAACATATATAAAACATTAACTCCCCAGGCAATATACCTTGTCAAATATACCTCGGGCAAATGCATTCAGGAGAAGAAAATATCTTAGTTTCCTCTTCATGTTTCCTTTTTTTTTTTTTCTTTTTGTGTTACTCAGTGTTTGATATTTTGCATTTTTTCAGGGAGCTGGTAAGTCGCCTACAGGAGCGAAATGTTCAGGTTTTCCTAATATCTGGTGGCTTTAGGAGTATTGTAGAGCATGTTGCTTCAAAGCTCAATATCCCAGGAACCAATGTATTTGCCAATAGGCTGAAATTCTACTTTAACGGTAAGACGTTAATGGTAACATATTCCCTTTCTTAGCAGTTCTATTATTCAGTATTCTGGGTAATGTCTGTTGGAATGCAACTTAAACAGTCACATCAGAGTTAAATATTGAGATGAATGGTCCTCTTAATTGATGTCTTTTGCCCTTTGGTACCCTTTGCTCAGCAAAATAGACTTAGGTCATCACCTGTCCTGGCTTTATTATCTATAACATCACCTGTCTGTACATAAATGTCTGCATTTCATGAAACATTAATTCCTACATAGCCCCTATGACTTACTTTGCTTTATGTTATATTTCAGCTTTATGGGAGCTTCTATGCATTTGAAGCAATTTAGACTCAAGAAGGAGACTTGGCTGGGCACGGTGGCTCACGCCTGTAATCCCAGCACTTTGGGAGCCTGAGGCGGGAGGATCACTTGAGGTCAGGAGTTCAAGACCAGCCTGGCCAACACAGTGAAACCCCAAGTCTGCTAAAAAAAAAAATACAAAAATTAGCTGGGCGTGGTGGCACATGTCTGTAGTCCCAGCTACTTAGGAGGCTGAGGCAGGAGAATCACATGAAGCTGCATGAGCTGAGATCATGCCACTTCACTCCAGCCTGGGTGACAGAGTGAGACTCTGTCTTAAAAGCAAGAAAAAAAAAAAAAGACAACAAGACAGCGACTTTAAAAGGGAGACTTTTGTTAACGGATTACTGAACTACAGCCCTTGGGGAAGCCTCCTGTCCCCTCTCTGGTCCATAGCGTTGCCACAGTTGTTATATTATCTCAGATCTCCAGTTATATCAAGGGGTGACTGATAGTGATTTTTTTTTTTTTTTTTTTTTTTTTGAGACAGAGTCTCACTCTGTTGCTCCAGCTGGAGTACAGTGGCTCGATCTCGGCTCACTGCGACCTCTGCCACCTGGGTTCAAGCGATTCTCCTGCCTCGGCCTCCTGAGTAGCTGGGATTACAGGTGCCCACCACCACGCCTGGCTAATTTTTGTATTTTTTTTAGTAGAGTCGGGGTTTCACCATGTTTGTCAGGCTGGTCTCAAACTCCTGGCCTCAGATGATCCACCTGCCTCGGCCTCCCAAAGTATTGGGATTACAGGCATGAGCCACCGCATGTTAATAGAACATTCTTGAGTGGTCTAGAGATAGAGATCATTGAAAAAAGAAGTCAAGAATGAGTGTGGTAGTTACTGTAACAACAGAAATAATTGATCAAAAATAAGCTGGAATTTCCTCTTGGGTGACATAATATATTAACATTTTAAATTTAATATATTAAGACTGGGTGCGGAGGCTCACGCCTGTAATCCCAGAACTTTGGGAGGCCGAGGCAGGCTGATCATCTGTGGTCAGGAGTTCGAGACCAGCCTGGCCAACATGGCAAAACCCCATCTCTACTAAAAACACAAAACTTAGCCAGCATGGTGGCATGCGCCTGTAATCCCAGCTACTTGGGAGGCTGAGACACGAGAATGGTTTGAACCTGGGAGGCGGATATTGCAGTAAGCGGAGATCATGCCATTGCACTCCAGCCTGGGCAACAGAGTGAGACTCTGTCTCAAAAATAAATAAATTATTAATTAATTTGATATATTACTATTGTATGGTGTTCTGCTACCTCAACAAAGTTTGAGAATTACTGGAAGCTTGAAGGATACAACAAATTCACCCCTAGGTATTTATGACCTAATAGAGGTCATCTCTACAATTGATATTTGTAATTTAAAAGCAAAGGTTGGCTGGGTGTGGTGGCTCACACCTGTAATCCCAGCACTTTGGGAGGCCGAGGCAGGAGAATCACATGAGCCTAGGAGTTCCAGACCAACCTGGGCAACATGCCAAGACTCCATTTCTATAATCATAATCATAACCATAAAAGGAGAAAAAGTAAAGCTTGTTTATTCCCAGGAACAGGTGTGGAGCTCCAGGCTGTGCGACTTTACCCAGGGCCATTTTTAGCCTTCTCAGTGACATTTAAGTGAAGATATCATCTATGCAGAAAGCTGTCACTGGTAAGATACTTCTGTGGGTCTTTAACCTTGTTTTTATTGCTCTTTTAAGGTGAATATGCAGGTTTTGATGAGACACAGCCAACAGCTGAATCTGGTGGAAAAGGAAAAGTGATTAAACTTTTAAAGGAAAAATTTCATTTTAAGAAAATAATCATGATTGGAGATGGTGCCACAGACATGGAAGCCTGTCCTCCTGCTGTATGTATTAAGGATGCTAATATTTTTGCAGGTTGTACTTTTGTTTTTTTAATATATTTATTTATTATTTCTTTATTTTTTTTTGAGACGGAGTTTCGCCCTTGTTGCCCAGGTTGGAGTGCAGTGGCATGATCTCAGCTCACTGCAATATCTGCCTCCCAGTTCAAACCATTCTGGTACCTCAGCCTCCCAAGTAGCTGGGATTACAGGCACACGCCACCATGCTGGCTAAGTTTTGTATTTTTAGTAGAGACGGGGTTTCGTCACATTGGCCAGGCTGGTCTTGAACTCCTGACCTCAGGTGATCTGCCTGCCTTGGCCTCCCAAAGTGCTGGGATTACAGGCATGAGCCACCACGCTCGGCCGTATTTTTGTTTTCACAGCTGATTTATCCTATAATCCCAACATTTTGGGAGGTCAAGGCAGGCAGATCACTTGAGCACAGGAGTTTGAGACCAGCCTGGGCAACATAGTGAGACCTCATCTCTACAAAATACATAAATAAAATAAAATAAAAACAGCTGATTCAGAACTATGTAAGATTTAAAACAGGAGTTAAACAAAAACAACTCTGATTACAAGATAAAAATGAAATAATAAAAAATTCAATCTTGTTTTGTCAACTTTATGCAAACCCAAGAAAAGTTATGAATAAGGAACTAAAAACCTTTTAAAACTTTTAACAATGCCTTATCCCTGTAGTATGGGCACCATCTTGTAGCCTAGGTGTGTGCTCAATAGGTTGGTTTCATTTTCCCAAATAATACCATCAACAACTCATAACCAAGATTTTAACATCATTTGATACTTTATATACTAGTTCCTGATACATTACCTCATTTAATCCTCATAGCAGCCCTGTGAAGTCAAATATTATGTTTTGTTCTGTTTTGTTTTTCTTAGACAGAGTCTCACTCTGTCACCCAGGCTGGAGTGCAGTGGTGCACTCTCAGCTCACTGCAATCTCCGCCCTCTGGGTTCAAGGGATTCTCCCACCTTAGCCCCCCAAGTAGCTGGTACCATAGACGCATCCTGCCACACCCAGCTAAGATTTTGTGTTTTTGGCAGAGGCAGAGTTTCACCATATTGCCCAGGCTGATCTCGAACTCCTGAGCTCAAGCAATCTCCCCTGCCTTGGCCTCCCAAAGTGCTGGTATCACAGGTGTGAACCACCATGCCTGGCCAAATATTGTGTTCTTCTTACTGATAGGGGAACTGAGGCTTGCAGAGATTATATGATTTACCTGTAACATATCAGAGCATTTTCTTTTTATTTACTTATTTATTATTTTTTGGACACAGGGTCTTGCTATGTTGCCCAGGCTGAAGTGCAGTGGTGCAATCATAGCTTATCACAGCCCTGAACTACTGGGCTCAAAGGATCCTCCCACCTCAGCCTCCTGGGTAGCTGGGATTACAGGTGTGTGCCACTGCATCCCACGCCACCACGGCATTTTATTCCTCTGAACTAACTTCATTTTCTGAGACTAGCAGAGGTTTTGTTTATTTTTTGGGGTCTTGCTCTGTTACCCAGGCCAGAGTACAGTGGCGCAATCTTAGCTCATTGCAGCCTCGACCTCCCAGACTGAAGCAATCTTCCCATCTCAGCCTCCTGAGTAGCTGGGACTGCAGGCGCATGCCACCACACCTATTTAATTTTGTTTATGTTTTGTAGAGATGAGGTCTCACACTATGTTGCCCAGGCTAATCTTGAATCCTGGCTTAAGCGATCTTCCTGCCTTGGCCTGCCACAGTGCTGGGATTATAGGTGTGAGCCAACATGCCCGGCCAGGGATTTTATTTCTAAGCATTTTAAAATCAATGCGCGCATGTGCACTCTCTCTCTCTCTCTCTCTCTCTCTCCATATATATATAAAAAATCAAATACTATATATAGCAAGTGTCGTAAATATCAAATGGGTCCATTTCACGTAGGGCTTTGCCTTTGTCATGTCATTCTAATGTAAGAAAAACTACACTGGCCGGGCGCGGTGGCTCAAGCCTGTAATCCCAGCACTTTGGGAGGCCGAGACGGGTGGATCACGAGGTCAGGAGATCGAGACCATCCTGGCTAACACGGTGAAACCCCGTCTCTACTAAAAAATGCAAAAAACTAGCCAGGCGAGGTGGCGGGCGCCTGTAGTCCCAGCTACTCGGGAGGCTGAGGCCGGAGAATGGCGTGAACCCGGGAGGCGGAGCTTGCAGTGATCTGAGATTCGGCCACTGCACTCCAGCCTGGGCGACAGAGCGAGACTCTGTCTCAAAAAAAAAAAAAAAAAAAAAGAAAAACTACACCAAAATATCACGCCTGTAATCCCAGCACTCTGGAAGGCTGAGGCAGGCAGATCACCTGAGGCCAGGAGTTTGAGACCAGCCTGAGCAACATGGTGAAACCCCATCTCTACAAAAAATACAAAAAAATTAGCTGGGAGTGGTGATGGTGCCTATCATTGCAGTTACTCAGGAGGCTGAAGCATGAGAATCACTTGAACCCAGGAAGTGGAGGTTGCAGTGAGCCGAGATTGCGTGACTGTGCTCCAGCCTGGACGACAGAGTGAGACTCCATCTTAAAAAAATACATATATAGTGCTGAAGTTTTTACTCCTAGTTTCCTGAGATCTAAAAATAGGGATTGTCTAAAAAAAAAAAAATTCATACTCTTTGTGAATGATGAATGAAAAAGGGTTCAAAGAACCTTTTTGGCCAGGCACGAAGGTGACTCATACCTGTAATCCCAGCACTTTGGGAGGCAGAGATGGGCGGATCACCTAAGGTCAAGAGTTTGAGACCAGCCTGGCCAGCATGGCAAAACCCTATCTCTACTAAAAATACAAAAATTAGCCAGGCATGTTGGTGGGTGCCTGTAATCCCAGCACTCGTGAGGCTGAGGCAGGAGAATCTCTTGAATCCGGGAGGCGGGAGATTGCAGTCAGCCGAGATCGCGCCACTGTATTCCAGCCTGGGCATGACAGAGCAAGACTCCATCTCAAAAAAAAATAAAATAAAAAGTTCCAGCCAGGCTGGTCTCAAACTCCCAACCTCAGGTGATCTGCCCACCTTGGCCTCCCAAAGTGCTGGGATTACAGGCATGAGCCACACCACACATAGCCTTTGAATCCTTTTTTTTTTTTTTTTTGACAGAGTCTCGCTCTCTCACCCAGGCTGGAGTGAAATGGCGTGATCTTGGCTCACTGCAACCTCCGCCTCCTGGGTTCAAGCAATTCTCCTGCCTCAGCCTCCCAAGTGGCTGTGATTACAGACGCCCACCACCACGCCCAGCTAATTTTTTGTATTTTTAGTAGAGACAGGGTTTCACCATGTTGGCCAGGCTGGTGTCGAACTCCTGACCTCAGGTGATCCACCCATCTCAGCCTCCCAAAGTGCTGGGATTACAGGTGTGAGCCACCACACCCAACCACCTTCGAGTATTTTTATTGTTAGCTTAGATAATTTATAACCAATGTTGGAGTTGTCTAAGTAATGAACATTGGGCTACTAGTTTAATGAGGAATACATAAAAGTAAAATGAAGAGATTTCTCAGGGAGCTCCCAATCTCGTTTTCAAGAAACGACAAAATCAGCCAGAAGTGGTGGCTCACGCCTGTGATCCCAGCACTTTGGGAGGATTGCTTAAGCACAGAGGTTCAAAACCAGCTGAGCGACATGGCAAAACTCCGTCTCTAAAAAATTACTCAGGGATTGTGATGTGCACCTGTCATCCCAGCTACTCAGGAAGCTGAAGCAGGAGGATCAATTGAGCTCAGAAGTTCAAGGGTGCAGTGAGCCATGACTGTGCTACTGCACTCCAGCCTGGGTGACAGGGTAAGACCCTGTCTCAAAAAACAAAAAAAGAACGACAAAATTGGATGGGTGCAGTGGAACATAACTGTAATCCCAGCACTTCGGAAGCTGAAGCAGGAGGAGTTTGAGAGCAGTCTGGCAACATAGAACGACCCTACAAAAAAATTTAAAAAGTAGCCCAGCAAGTTGGTGCACACCTGGAGTCTCAGCTACTCAGGAGGCTGAGGCATGAGAATCACCTGAACCCAGGGGGCAGAGGTTGCGGTGAGCCGAGATTGTGCCACTGCACTCCAGCCTGGGCGACAGAGCAAGACTCCAGTAAATAAATAAATAAATAAAAATAAGAATAATTTCTCTCTCTTTTCTTCCTTCTTAGGATGCTTTCATTGGATTTGGAGGAAATGTGATCAGGCAACAAGTCAAGGATAATGCCAAATGGTATATCACTGATTTTGTGGAGCTGGTGGGAGAGCTGGAGGAATAACATCCACTGTCACACAGCTCCGAACACCTTCGGATGGATTTTTACAAGTGATACAGGTTGATACTGTTTGCTTACAATTGCCTATTACCACTTGCTATAGAGAGTTGGCACAGATGATCAATACTTTAAACTACAGTTAGGACTCCTAGAAGATCGCTTTTTTTTTTTTTAACTGTAGTTCCAGTATTATATGATGACTATTGATTTCCTGTAGAGTTTTGTAATCTGAATTCTTTCTGTATATTCCTAGCTATGCTTCATACAAAGTGTTTTAAGGGTGGAGAGTCAAACAAACACCTTTACTCTTAGAAAGATGGATTCGGCAGCTTTCGGTGAATATTGGTTTCTCTTTGGTATATCAATAAAAGTTTATCCATGTGTCAGAATGGATTTGTGGAATTTGCAGTTCTGCCTCTTGGATGTTGGAATACCCAATATTTCAGGTACTGTGTTGAAGCATAAACAGCCCCAGGCAAGAAACAGGCTTAAGACTCTGCTTAGTGCTAGGCACAGTGTCCTCACCCCATGAGCCCACTCCCACTTCCTGAAGCCCTGGGGCCTCGAAAGTCCTTTTTTTACTTCTTGGGATTTGTCATATATGAAATGTTACAAAGGGTTTTTTTTTTTCCTCCAATATAACAATAGAGTCTTAAACAAAAGTACTGATTAAAAATGGATATTTGGGCTAGGCGCGGTGGCTCACGCCTATAATCCCAGCACTTTGGGAGGCCGAGGTGGGCAGATCATGAGGTCAGGAGATGGAGACCATCCTGAATAACACAGTGAAACCCCGTCTCTACTAAAAATAAATACAAAAAATAAGCCGGGCACGGTGGCGGGTGCCTGTAGTCCCAGCTACTCGGGAGGCTGAGGCAGGAGAATGGCGTGAACC